AGTAGATAGCTCATGTTATAAGAAGTAACTTAGCCTGCTTAAATTTTAGAAAAATTATTAGGTGTCTTTGCAACAATATTAACGCCCTAAACTAAACGCGGACGAAGTCGCGGGGTACAGCTAGTAGCTAAAATAAATTCAAAATTAATTGAGTACTTTTATCTATCTCCCGGGTGAGCGTAGCAATGATTAGTTACATCTTTATTTCTGAACTCTTTCATTTCACGTTGCTATGGTATTTTGAAAGTTTAAATTTAATTAATTAATAAGTATAAGAGGTTGATAGCAAATTTATCAAGAATCATTTCTTACCTACACACTTTTCATGAATCGTGTACGTTTTTCTTTAAAACTGGAAAAAACCGCGCATAATATGCCGACAGATAAAATAAAAGTACTCCATTAATCATGACAATTTTTCCAAACATTACAATCAAATAAAATATTTGATTGCAATTATAAAATGCTTGAAATAGGTGTCATGTCATGCCACGCATCTCGGACACGTGATGACGCGGGTGAATCCACGAAATTATTAGGTATACGTCTGTGGCTCTATATACCTAATATAGATTGCTTATTTTATTATGTTTAGTTTTCCCCGAGTGGTCATGCAGCAATCACTCAAGAGTTCGGCTTCGAACGTGTGTAACTCGATAATTATCCCACGGCAACGAAATACCTGAATAAACGGTATCATATATGATATTTGGCAGCTCCGTGGCGCAGTGGCTTAGCAATGAATTGTTGTACTGGGAGCCGCGGGTTCGAATCAATCGAACAAGTATTTGTATGGTCTACAAATAATTGTTCCGGGTCTGGATGTTTGTAAACTGCCTCCACGATACAGGAGAAAATACTAGTGTGGGGTAACGTTTTTTTGAAAAAAAAAATTCCGGACTATAGCCTATCTCTGAGCAAAATATCATCCAGATCCCTTCAGCCGTTCTGGCGTGATTGAGTAACATACATCCATTCATCCGTCCATCCAAATATCCAAACTTTCGCATTTATAATATTTAGATAATAATCGTAATTGGTCTGCCTAACTATAAATTGTTTTCAAAAATACTTACTTACCTGGCTTATTTTTTTATATATACTCAATATCACTAAACGTAAACACAGGTTTTTATCAAGACAAGTGACCCATCAAGATTGTTTTCTTAGTACCGACGTACCTACCTAAAGTTTACAATTTTGTGGCCACGACGCGGCGAGGTTTTGTGACATTTTGTTGTATTGTTGATTGTAGGTATCTAGGTAATAACAGTAGGTACCTATGAAAATCCCACATAATATACTTTGTTTATCCGCCGCAAAAGTCGTCTAATAAATAATTAAACTGTTTTGTAATTCTTTATTTATTTATAACACTTGCATTGAGAGCCGTGGTAGCTCAGATGGTTAGCGCTCGCTGTAAGTATCACATTACGCGAGCAACCCGGGTTCGATCCCCGTCGGCACCAATGAAATTGTTGCAATTTTATATAGTAATCGAATATAGACTTTACTTTTTTTACTTTTATAATTATATTATATTACAGACGAAAATTTTAAAATATTGTCTGTCGTCCAAAACGCATCATCTCTTTCAATTATATCAATTTCCATGCCGTCTTTTGTCTTTGGCGTCCAAATTACAAAATAGCAAAACTTTTCGTTTCGAATAAAACTCGAATACTTATAAGCGCGCGTCACCGCCTGTGCATGTGTGTGTAAGCATCGTCCTCCCGCACCGCACCGGGGGAGACATTATTCAGTGAGATGCACGATAATTCATAGTAACATGCGCGCGTAAAAAAATACGAAAAGGCCTTTGGAAGAAGGGGTTTTATGAAAAAACCACTGCATTAATCAATTACAAATAAAATTTATTGAGTTCTTCGATAATTTACCTGTGTCGGTACCGACTTTGTTTTGGAAATTTTACACTTCTTTTATTACTAATTTACGCCCAAAGTTGTGTTAAAATTGGCAATAAAAACGAATCTTTGGTAGCTCGTAACTTTTTAATAACATTTTATTTTACTATTCTGTTTCCGTACAGACAAATTTAATAATGAGACAAAACGATATCATGTTTAATTTTGGATGTACACTGTCAAACAGCGGAGTAAAACCCCTCCGAAATTTCTATGGAAATAATGTCGACTAGTGTCACCTTAAGATGCACATAACAAAATGCCGCCACAAGGTGTTGATATATCAATAGAAACAGAACTCTCTATGATATTTTCACTTTAAATTAGTTAGAAAACTTTCTTAGTTATTTTTTGTCGAAATATTATCAAATTATGAAATACGCAAACAAGGAAGTTATTGTGATATTAATGCAGACGACTATAAAACTTGATTTAATTTATATACATCTAAATCACGAGATATGAAGTGAGAAATACGAGTATACTTTCTCACGGAGCAAAAGGAACGGCATGCATTTTATTACTGCTAATAAAATGCAATGCCGTTCCTATTTACTTTTTATTTTGCTCTATAACTGCCAGTTATAGAGCAAAAGTCGAACAGTTACGTTTTATAAAAGCTCTTCATTTGATTTACGACCCCTTAAAGTTCACTGCTGGAATAAACACAAGTTAGTAATACCAGCTACTTATATCTACAGTCAGTAGAGTGAAGTAGCTGGTATTACTAACTTGGGTTAAGATTTCTGAAAAATTTACAAGCTCTGTCCATCAAAAAAGGGTTATTATATAACTAAAAACAACATGATTGGAAAAACTCTTGGGAGTGAGATGATCCCTACCAATCTGTATCTTTTTTTAACCAATTGATCCAGAAGGAGGGTAACGTTTTTCGAGGGTATGTATTTATATGTATATCATCTATTTATTTGGCATGTTCTGTATGTAGCCTAAACGGTTTGATGGATTTTAACATATGCAGTCGTTATGTTAGTCTTACTTATGGGGTGGACATGGGCTATATAACATTTAGGTATATTGCAGGCCTTAAGGTGCTACTCCTAGTGAATGATCTTGAGCATTCAGTCCACCGACTCTCGCTACAATAGCACATAATAAATAAGTAACAATAGGTATATCGCGTACGAAATCTGCAACACGCCACCTACTGTACGAACGTAGTATTATTTTTTTAACATCAATAAACTATTTTATGGAAATAGACACGGCAGACAATGATAAATATATTTTCATTTTTTTATTCGGTATATTAGCTGCATTATATTAGAATTATGTATTCTCACATATTATCTAATTACTAAAAATGACACCATTCATTTCGAACGCCCGGGTAGGTATCTAATCTAACATGAGAAAATGAGGCATAGAAAATAGTCAGTTTAAAAGATACCTACTCACTATAGGTAAATAGATAGGATGTTTCGCAGATGTGTTTTTTGATTATTATTAATTTTTACGTATCACGTATTGAAAAGTAAGATACCTACCTCTTACTAATTTTTGAACTGAGCACCTTGTAACTTACCCTGCTTGAAAAAAAAACATGTTTGTTTGAACAATGTACATGTATTTGTATGGCCTACAAATAATTGTTCCGGGTCTGGATGTTTGTCCTTGTGCAATTTATGTTTGTAAACTGCCTCCACGACACAGGAGAAAATCCTAGTGTGGGGGTAACGTTTTTATAAAATTGAAATTGAAAGATTGAACCCTTATACTTCTTGTTGATTTTTGTACTACCTTTATTAAAGTTACCCTTATGTATAAATAAATATAATTACGTATGTAGAAATAGTAGTAGTGACACGTAAAAGTTAACAATAATCAAAAACACATCTGCGAAACATCCTATTTATTTATTTATTCTTTATTGCACCAAATATTTGTACAAAAGGTGAGCTATCTATCTATTTACCTATAGTAAGTAGGTATCTTTTAAACTCACAATTTTCAATGCTTTATTTTTAATATATAATTAATTATAAAATTTCATAATTAGATAATATATGAGAATACATAATTCTAATATAATGCAAAGTATATTAGATACCGAATAAAAAAAATTTAAATACATTTATCGTTGTACGGTGTGTGTATTTCCATAAAATAGTTTATTGATGTTGAAAAAATTATACTACGTTCGTACAGTAGGTGGCGTCTTAAATATTTCTTACGCGATATATTGTAGCGAGTCGGCGCGCCGGCCGAATGCTCAAGGTCGATCGCATGGAGTAGTCCCTAAAAGTAACACAATAATTAACAACACAAACAACATGGTAGCGATCACATCATTCCCAGGGTAATTATCATGCATAAATTCCTAAATATTATAATAACTCTTTTTATACAATCTTTGTTTAATAAAGTTTTTAAACATGGCGGAAGTCAGATTTTGTTTGTTTATGATAGAATATTTTTTAATAAACTCTTGTTAAAACTAAATATTGATTATTTCGTTGTTATCTAATAAGAAGACTTATCAGACGGATTGGTATCAAACGTTTCGCTCCTATTTAAAAAGTACAATTTCATCAATTCGTAGTATATTATTGATAAAATATTTGTGTAGTTTATACATAAATATGATTGTAAAGAGAAAACGTTAAATTTCTTTGTATAGTCAGTTTATTTATGAACACATATTAACATATTATATTAAATTAAAATATACTAATTTTCTACAATAATCTTTATCAGAATATCGTGTAGCGGCGGTGTAAGAATATCCACTACTCTCCATATTGCCCATGCGTGTCGTAAAAGACAACAGAGGGAAACTAAAAAGGAAATGGGCAGCAGCATCTTCCTGGTAACAACTCAAAATAATAAAAAGCTGCCATTGCCAAAACGCCTACCAAGCGTGGCAACTATAACAAAATCCCCCATATGAGTGGAGGTCTATGTTCAGCGGTGAATATTTATAGGCTGTAATAGATTGAATGATTATCATAGTATCGTATATACATTTTAATAAAACAATCAGTCATTTCATATCGTTAAGACGTTATCATCTGGTCATTTCATGAAAGAATCGTAAAGTGTTCGTTATCGATATCAACAATAAGACAGTAGTTCGTCAATAGTACAAGGTTTCTCGCAGCACTCGGCAACCACCTGTCGCTTACTCCTGCCCAAGCTCCTCGCCTGCCGGAGACCAATCCAGGGCCAGTCGTAGCCTCCCACGCTCATTTCTGTCCTCTTTACCAGTAGCGTGTTATCGCACAACAGAGCCAATGTCGTGGCCAGTCTCCTCCCGCAGTACACCTGCCCATAATTATCTTCACCGGTCACCACAACCAGAATACCACAGATGGATAAAAGCACGAATGTCAGTAGACTTTTCATAATGCTTGTTTTAGTATTGAGGTTTGGTTATTCCGGGATATGGTAGTGTAATGTGATTAAAATGAGAATGTATCCAGTTTTATACACGCGGGATCACATTAATATTCCTTTGTCAAATGTAGCGTGAAGTAATTAAACCTGATATATTAATAATTTCGCGTGGGATGTTCTTGTTTAGGTTTATTTACCTATACGATTTAAATTTTCCACTTTATGATTTGTTTTTCTAAATAGGAATTCATAAACATAGACAACACATACGCATAGATGAACATATTATTAAATAAATCTAGCTCGAGTTTCATTTACGTTACAAATTAGGAAAGACCTTATCGCTGTGAGAAATTGGAACTTGAGAAGGTTTTACAAAAAAACCTGAATGACAGTGACACCCTTCCGAAATAGAAATAGAATAGAATAGATTCAGATACTTGTTTTATTAGCGCTAGAATCTGTTTTGGAAGATTACAAGAATCATTTTGTGTATAATGGTGTATCATTGCACTGATCAAATATCATCTATAATACGAGCTTAAAGAAATATTTTAAAAATCGGATAGATTTGCGTTTTGGGGTAAAAAAGTACTTAAATTCGATAAATCAAAAACACGAAGGAATACGGAAGGCGTAATTCTTTTGTACAAAAGAAAAGATTAATTCGGCATTTTATTTACTGATAGCTCTTTTAAATTAAATTTATTGTATAACTGAATAAACATATTGCACACATAGAACGCCAAGCGAGTGAGGTTGGGTTTTACTGTCGACTTGACAAGGTCACGACGCTACCCGCTCTCATTAAATTCGGTATATTGTTATATACCGCACTTTACGTGAAGAAAAACACATTGAAAAAGAAACACTAATGAATAAAATGAAGTTTTAATTTAAGTTATAAATACATATTAGGTATTATAAAAAAAAAATCCAATGAAAAATGTTGCATGCCACTCCTCGCCATCCGTTATTTTTGTTTATGTAGGTAATTCCCCACTTTCATAACTTTTTTATTCCCGCCCTAATAACTAACAAAATAAAGTAATTGCTTGATTTCCTAATGCATGAAAGTAATGATATAAAACTACGTCGTTAACGACAGTTAAAAGGTTGATATTGAAGTAGGCGAAGGCTTTTGAAGGCATTTCGTGATGCCCGCATATTGTGTGTATAATTAGTCGCACTTGTGATAATATTAGTATTGCTAAGTGCTTTGTTCGAGTTGACTGAAGAGCATGCCAGAAAGATCTTGTAGCTTCCAACATATGACATTATAACTATCGTCTAGAACCAGCGTCGAATGTGCTCGACGACTGATTATGCGTTCGTCAATCTACTTGCCAAGCAATAAAATAAATATGGCAAATATATCCGACCTTTGTTCAGCGGTTGACTTTAAGACTTGCAACGAATATTCGCGTAATATTCGGTATTCGGCCCATTCGGCTATTTTTATTCTCCATGGTCGAATAATAGATACTGTTCGGCCGAATACCGAATACCTAAGTAAGAGGTTTTTTTTTTGTAGTCTATGTAGTAAATGTAAACTGAAAGTAATTATTTATTTTATAATTATTTTTTTTCTTGTTATCATTAAAGTAGTCATGGGTTACATAATCAACTTCCGTATTATAAAACTTTAAAAAAATAACTATCAGGTTAATGTCTATGCACTCGAATTATCGTAATTTAAGTGGAAGATAATGGTGCAGAAAAACTAATTCTTCTTCATTTTTATAGGCAGTAGGTTTTCTCCTTTACTTCTCGTAGACAATACCAGCTTCAGAGAATAGACGTTCTGAAGAATAAACACTACTTCCTTCCCGGCCGAATATTTTTGCCTAATAATCGGCTATACAGCCAGGAAGTCCGCAGAATATTCGGTATTCGGCGTGTGGCTGAATATACTATTCGTTGCAAGTCTACTTTTAATAGGCTGTAATGATAAAAGTCTAGTCCAAAGCCGTGGAGATTTTATATATATTTATAAATTATTCAAACAAATCTAATACACCTAAGTTTAACTGCACCTAGTTGTAGCCGGCTAAACCTAGGTGGGTCCCGTATATTGACTTTTAGATGTAGCGTAAATAATGAAAATTTATTTCATATGGTCAAGTTCGAAGGTATTAACAAAAAATAATTATATTACATTTACCAATGAAAATCACAGGTTAAATATGGGCAAGCTAAATATGCATTCTTCCAAAATACTAAAACAACTACAAATACTAAATAACATGTACAAAAGGTACTAAAGGTAGGAATAACAGGTCATTTTTACCGACAAAGCGCAACGTACCTATTCGGTAACATTAATTTTGCTGCTGAATTTCACCGAAATCTATCAACAACTTATTTATTTTTTGACTGAGGTTATAGCGTATATAATAAACGGGTTTGTCCATGTGTCGTTATTTTTTGTTTAATTTTTATTTTTGAAAAATATCTTAATGTGATTAGGTTCTTTACAGGGATTCTTTATAGGTTCTTTATATTCAGGCGAAGCCGGAGCGGATCGCTTGTTATAAATATAACAATCAACCCATAATATCCCTTAAGAAAGGCAATAAAAAGATCAGTATTCGTTAGGCCTATTCTAATATGTTTATGATATTTTATTCTTATAATAAGCTCTTAGGAATTACGTTAATGCCGGCGGCGAAAGTAGTTTACGATCCCTGTTTCAGACGTCCTCAACCTGTGATGCTGATGTTCATTAGCGATCTAGGCAATTTACGCCTAGTGTAAAGATATTGTATTACCAATATCTATCGGAAGCCATATTTTTTTCAAGCATTTCTTATAGTTGCCTAGGTTGATGGATCCGCCAACGTTTACGATTTAAAACTTGAACCTTGAGTAAGTATGGTTCCGAAATTACCGTGTTGACTACAATACACAATACAATACAATACCCTTTATTGTACACCAAGGAAAGATAAAAATAACAAAAAAAAAACTATTATTGAGGGAAAAACAAAAGGCGGTCTTATTGCTACAAAGCAATCTTTTCTAGACAACCCCGAAGAAGAATTTAAAAAAAAAGAAGAAAAAGAATAACGGGAAGGTTCACTAAAATAAGAAAGAATACCAACTTATGCACTAAAAAGATAACATTCTTTAGGTATATCAATAACCAAAATAAGAGGAGGAGAGAGGGGTTACAGAGACGAATTGACTACTTTGTAAAATTTCAATGTGACTTGTAGGAATTTTAATAACCGTATCAAATATACTACACCTTTATAATGTGTGGAATATTTGTTTGTTTAGTTCCTTTGAGGCCTCACTTCATACTTCGTTAAGAAGATTATGGGTTAACGTTTCTCGAATGCCGCTATATAATACGTAAAGGTCTAAGAGTAAGTGAAGCTCTCAATAAGACCACTTAGTGACCTGAATCTACATAAATAAATAAAATCGAAGTGTCTGTTTGTAATGTCAAAATAACAGCTTTTTACTAAATACATATGAAATGCATATACGGTACTTATAACAAAAAACAATGTTTGAAGTTTTGTCTGTTTGTTCCGGCTACTCTCCGAAACAGCTGAACCAATTTTGACGTGACTTCCATTGGCAGATAGCTGATGTTTTAAGAAGTAACTTAGGCTACTTTTATTTTAGAAAAATAATTAGTGTTCCGCGCAAAAAAAAAACTAAGACCCATGAAATCCAATCGTAATAAATTCCACGCTGGCGAAATCGCGGGGGACAGCTAGTTGCAAATAAATATAATACAGTTTCATAAGGTTCACATTTAAGCTCAATATTGTTTCATGTATTCAATAATAATATTATAAGTTTTATTTAATTCTTTCAGTAAATAAAAATGCAATTTAAACCATCATTTGAAGTTCAATAAATGGTTGCTTCGAATCCGCCATTCGACTACTGTCGTGAACCACTCCTAGCACAAGCATTTTAAGCTAACCAGAAATGGTTAACGGGAATATTACTAATGTTAATAGCATTGCTAGTATTTTCAAAAAAAATATGAACATTAAAAAAGTGAGATAGCAGCGTAATAAGGTTTTTATTTTCGGATAACAATTCCTCAGATTCATATAATAAAACTAAAACAAACAGAAAATTGTTAGTTAATAAAAGGCAGTTGTTTTTAAATGAGATCAAAATTCAATCGTTAGTTATGTAAATCAATATCAACAATAAGACAGTAGTTCATCAATGGTACAAGGTTTGTCGCAGCATTCAGAAACCACTTGTCGCTTCTCTCTGCCTAGACTTCTTGCTTGGTGTACACCGATCCAAGGCCAGTCAAAGTTTTGAGTTTGAACTTCTGATCTTTTCACCAAGAGTGCGTTGTCACACAAAAAGGCCAACGTTGTGGCCAATCTTCTCCCGCAGTAAACCTGGGCATAACTTTCTTCACATGCTACCATAATTACCAGACCGAAAAGGGACAAAAGAACAAATTTGAGTTGATTCTTCATTGTGTGACTACTTGTGTTAAAGTATTTGAATACGGTGAGATGTGAAAGTGAAATGTGATAAAAATTAAAATTGCGCCAATTTTATACATCGAGGGTAATATTAATATTCCTAAATCCAGTCTAGTGTGAAGTAATTGGATTTGATTGAAATAATTTTGCGTAGGTTGTTGCTAACGTTATTTATGGAATTAAACTTACAAACAAATCACACGTAACCTATTTTAATGCATTTGTTTGCGCTGCTAAAACATCAATTATGGAGAAGGTTATTCTGTAACATGAATAAAATAACGGTTAAATATAAAATAAAGATATAAATGGAATTTGTAAACACAGAGAGAAACAAATAAGTAGATGTGATGCAGCGTCTTCCTAATACTAAAATATAAAAAAAATTAAGTTCAACAATAATTTATCTTTCTGACAATGTACTTTTTATATCATTTATATGTATAATATGATTGCTAGATACGATTTCATGCCATAAAACGTTGGAATCTTAATTTTTAGGACCTAGCAGAACATACCTGCGCGCTTTGCGCTTAAGGCATGCAATATTGCGGTTGTAGACTCGCTTGAACAGCGCGTATACCTACCGAGCGTAACTTCTATGAGGCAATCTTATTCTCAGCAGTGGACTTTGGATAGGATGTAACAATAACAGTATAAAATATATAGCTTAAGAGGTGCCATATCCGGTTCTCCTCCTTCACCTTACGAAACACAACAACAGTATACTGCTATTTTAGGATGGTACTCGTATTCTGTGTATGCGTGGTCCTTTGATTTGAGAAAAATTAGCCTTACTATTTATGTTGATCCATGTAAACGGAGTAATGTTAACAGGCTTATAAAGGAGAAAGGAAATCAGTCCACTGCCCAGTTCAAAAAAAAGTATTAGCCAAAGATTGTATAAAAAGTGTTTTATAATATTAGGGAACAATATGAGTGATGATACGCTGCCAAGCTACAAGTCAAAGTCAATGCAAAATATTTTTATTTAAAATTGGCCTTTAAAAGGGTTTTTTGTAAGACAATAAAGCTACGTCATCGCTAAGAACATATGTAATAAGTACTGCGGGAGACTTTGTGAGAAGAATCAGCAAGAAACTAACATGTAGACTATTTCCCTCCCAACAGACACAATTTAATCTTAAAAAATAAACACCTATAAACAATATTTAACCATTTATTTTAAGAAACGTTATCTCCACACTAATATTTTCTCCTGTATCGTAGGGGCAGTTTACATACATAAATGTCACTAGGACAAAACATCCAGACCCAAGACAATTAATTGTAGGCCATACAAATACTAGTTCCGTGCGGTATTCGAACCCGCGGCCCATAGCGCACCAACTCATTGCTGAGCCACTGCGCCACGGAGCTGTCTAGGAGACCTATGGAGAAAAGTCTAGCATTTGTAATGTGATTTTTATCGCTAATTGTACATATGTATACTACATACTTACATGGTTAATTGTTTCAAAAATGTCCAGTTGGCTTTCTTGCTGGTTCTTTCCAGGACAGAGATGGTAGGTTAATCATAAGAGGGACTTTCTGCAAGTATTAGTTGTAATACGGATTGGTCTCATTTATGCCACAGTTTCATAAAGTTGTACTATCAATGGGATGGTATGGTTTGTGCTCAACAAGCCTGTCCAGCGTGGTGAGTATTTGCAAATCTATACATAACAGTTCGAGCACTCTTGAAAAGGCCGATATCCCGAGTTGAATTAAAAAAAAGCTGCTAAAGAGTAAAAAATAAATAGTAATGATTTTATTGATTTAATTTTCAAAAATAAAAATTTCATTTGGAAATTCCCATATGAATGTCTTTATAAACGCACCTATGTAATTTTGAACTAAAAAAACAAGAATTTTACCGCCATGTTGCAGACCAGCCTGATGTTTATAGCTGTCGACAGACAGGCCGGCAAAAACTTACAACCTTAGCGATAAATCACTGAATGCTTAAACGCATTGATTTGACGTTGTCCGCTGCTTTTTATGGCTTAATTACGTGCAAAATTAGGGTAAACATACCACAAATTAATCGTGGACTGTTACTCTATTTTTATAGGTATATTATTTATCACTGAGTTTATCGCTGTAGAGTATTAAGGCTATATCACGAATATAGAGGATTAACTGAGAAAGGACTATGCTCTCATGGAATCATGCTACTGTGTTTCGTATGAGAATTGTAAGAACTATTTACTAGTAAAAAGTTATTACATCTTACCTCTCAGATTGATTTTTAATGAAAGATAGGTAGATGTAGGTGTCTATGGAGTATCCAATTACCGTTGGTAGGTAGGTGGACGGTGTGCTCGTTTGTTACCTATACTTCTATAAAAAAATATGGCGATCATAGTTCTCCGTTTATTAGACTAGGCACTAAGTTAGATTTTTAGAAAGTACAACTGTATTATTGGTACATGACCAAATTTGTTGAGTTATCAAAAGCTTAGGTGATATCGGCCTCATAGCGATCGACTATAAGTCTACGGGAAATTACTCTAGCTCTACTGCGGAACATTAGGTAGAATGTGCATTTACACAAGTGATAAAATTAAAAATTTTGTATAACCGACTTCAATATAAATTATTAAGAATAACTCAAAAACTACTGGTCAGACCTTGATAAAATTTATATGGGACCACATAAGAAGCACTAGCTTTCAAATAAAAAAGTATCATCAAAATGTAACCATAAAAAATACAGTCGAATTGAGTACCTTCTTCTTTTTGGAGTCAGTTAAAAATTATTGAGCATTTCTCAAGCCTGGCCACGTTAATTATACGCAAAATGGATGCTAGATCACAGTGAAAAAAATATTGCTTTACATAACTTCAAAATTTATTCGAGTCTTACTAAACTCATGGTCACATCAGAGATACTTTATTTATGTTTTGTTGTGTTAGACAGTTCTGCACTTAACACGCGTATTAAACGCAGCGGACATTTCATTATGTGTTTCAATGCAGGTGATCGCTTTGCTGGAAAATGGTCAACTTTTTCACAGAATTTTTAATGATGATTATATATCGTATCAGCGGAAGATAAACATTCACGTCATTTATTCCTCAATACTTGAAAATAATACTTGAAATAGTGTACAACCCAGTGTGTTGTTAATGATGGGGTGTCACTCAACACTATTGTTAGTACGTGGCTGACGCTCAAGAACCTTTCTTTCCCATTGGTTGTCGGTTCTTCAAGCTATATGACCGGCATATTTCCACTTTAGCTTAATGATCAGCTGAGCTTTGTAAGTTACTCTTGTTATTCTATGGATATCCTACTATATCCGCGTATATCCCTTTATATCGCACGATAAGTGATTCAGCTTCTCTATACGGCCAAAAGTGAAGTACCATTACACTGTTGGCCGTATACAGTACCAAGTTACAGTTTCGTAAGTTATCATTGGCAACACGCACTGTTTGTACACTTTCGTCTTAAGATTTTGAGAAATATCGGACAAGAAAATTTGCCCGAGCGCAGCCCAGGCATGTTGGATTCATCGCTGGATGAAATATTCGAATATAAAGAACAGCTAACTTTTTACTAGAGTTATAGCTTCACTTGATGAATTAACGGTTGCTTTAGACACCGGTGCTTGATTGCTATTCTTAATATTGTTATTTTTTGTATAATATTGCACTTTTTAATTCCAAATGCAATCATGTTTCTTCAATACAGAAATCAACAAGTCAATTTCAATACAGCTACTGGAGCTTGTTTTATAAAAACGCGCTTTTAGACTTTTTACCCTTATCGTTAGCCAATTAAAATCCACTGCTGAACGTAGGTCTCCCCCATAACTTCCTCATAGAGTGGATTTTGCCATAGTTGGCACTCTTGGCAGGCGGGTTGGCAACCGCAGTTTTTTTATTATTTTGAGTTGTTATGAGAAAGATGCTGCTACCGATATCCTATTCCACTTTCCCTCTGTTGTCCCTTACGACATCCACGGGTCGATATTGTTATAAAAAACGTTACGCCCACACTAGGATTTTCTCCTGTATCGTGGAGGCAGTTCACAAACATAAATTTCACGAGGACACATTACATCCAGACCCGGAACAATTATTTGTAGGCCATACAAATACTTGTTCCGTGCGGGATTCGAACCCGCGGCCCCAAGCGCAACAACTCATTGCTAAGCCACTGCGCCACGGAGCCGATATGAGGTAGTGGATATTCTTACACCGCAACTACACGATTCATCATTTTCATCATTACAGCCCTTCACAAGTCCACTGCTGAACATAGGCCTCCCCCAAAGAATGCCACAAAACACGGTCCTGAGCCACCTGCATCCATCGACTTCCTGCATGTCTTACCAGGTCGTCACTCCATCTCGTGGGGGGACGCCCTACACTTCGCCTACCGGTACGAGGCTGCCACTCGAGAACCTTTCTTCCCCATCGGTTGTCGGTTCTTCGAGCTATATGGCCGGCCCACTGCCACTTCAGCTTACTAATCCGTTGGGCTATGTCGGTCACTCTGGTTCTACTGCGGATATCCTCATTCCTAAGTTTATCACGCAGAGAAACTCCGAGCATAGCCCTCTCCATAGCTCGCTGAGCGACCTTGAGCTTCCTCATACGGCCAGCAGTGAAGGACCACGTCTCAGTTCCGTAAGCCATCACTGCCAACACGCACTGGTTGTAAAATTTCGTTTGAAGGTTTTGAGGTATGTCTGACGAGAAGATGTGTCGTAGCTTCCCGAACGCTGCCCAGCCGAGTTGAATCCGTCGATTGACCTCTCGGTCGAAGTTGGACTTACCCAGTCGGACTATTTGTCCCAGGTAAACATACTCGTCAACAACTTCGAGCTTAGTGTTCCCAACAACTACCGGCATAGGTGTGACATGGACATTAAACATGATCTTAGTTTTGTCCATGTTCATCTTAAGACCTATCCGTTGGGAAACACTATTGAGGTCATTGAGCATAGTGCTTAGGTCCTCCAGCGATTCTGCCATAA